TGGGGGAAAAGTGGGGCTGGTGAATTAAGAACCACAAGAGCAAAGAGAAACGAAGTAAACATACAATTTGGGGTAAAGAAAACTCTGTGGATCTGAGTCAGGGCGGGGGTGGGGGCGCTAGGTGGAAGAAAGAAGCAAAAATATGAAGCTAGCCCCGCTGGCCAGATTCTAAAGGGAAAGAAAAGGAGGAAGCCAGGGTCCTATTAAGAATGTTGAGAAAACAGATGCCACAGCCCAGGCAATACTATCCTTCCGGGAGGGCTCTGTAATCCAAGTATGGACTCATTTTGAGTTGCCACAACAACTGGGTATTGTGCTGCCCGGACAAGGTTGCTAAAATGTCCTTCTAAATTCCGGATAGTCCCACACAATGAATCGTCCTACCCTCAATCTGAAATACTAGGCTACTCCTGTAACTTAACCTTTAGTTTGTCTACCTGTAAAATGGGGCTAATCTATCTCACAGATTTTTATTTTATTTTTTTTGTAAAAACGCTTTTCCACAAACGGTCCAGTATTTGTTACTGCAGTTGCTTGTGATAATTAAGCGCTATTGATATCTAAGGAAGCCCTTAAATTCCTTCGTCGTAAGCCACGATAGTCCAGTAAAACCAACATATTCCAGGAAGACTGCGGGGCGAGAGAACCTTTTGCTGGAAGCAAACCCACGGAAAACTCTTTCTCCCACAAACTCAGATGTTTGGCGAACCACATTGCCCAGCAGACCCCGCGGCCGGCGTTGGCCTTCGCGCGGTGCGTTGTGGGATTAGTAGTTCCCAGGCTTTTAATGTCAGCCCGCGCCGCCAGGTACCAGGAACTCACCTTCCCAGCATGCCGCGCGGCCGCGGATGCATCTCGGCGACCAGGAAACGGGAAAGATGGCGACTGTTCGGCGACGTTGAGGCCGCGTTGGGCGGTTCAGACTCAGAGTGGTGAGTCCCGAACGATGGAGGCGGTTCCCAGGAGCTTGCAGAGAGGGCAAGAGTGGGGGCACGGCGATGGCCCCTGTCCCCGGGACGAGGCGGGGAAGAATGCCTCAGGGTAGGGGCATGAGCCCAGAGAGCTCTGGCGGGCTGGAGTGAAGGGGCGCGGGCCCCAGGGCGGAGTGTTGACTCCTGGAGACACAGGCCAGGTCCCTGGACGATCTTACGGGCCAGACCTTTGCCCATGAGCATAGCACCTGTGATACCCTCCATCCGACTTTATTCCTTCATGTTTTGAGTAAGCCTGGTTCCAGCCAAACTGGAACTCTGGCTTTTCTCCCAGAACCAGTCATGCTTTCCCGCCTCTGCGCCTCCTGTATTATTTCTTTTGCTAGGAATGACTTTTCCGCACCCTCAATTACACATCTTCAAATTCTACCTATACTTAAATGCTCAAGAGCCACTTCCTCTACAGATCTTTCCAAATCTTCTTTGCAAATGAAAGGAAACTTCTTTGAATTCCTATAATACTTCATCTGAGCCTTCATCTTGGTAAGTGCCACATACCCTCTATTGTTCTATAACCTTTTTTTTTGGACAGGATCTTCCTAATTTCCTTTTGTAATTCAATACGGAGTCTAGCATGGTGCTTTGCATATAGTAGATGCTTGATAAATACTTAATTGGATGAAAAAGAAAATCTGCCCCTACCCTACAAGAACTGAGGAACTCAAAGACCTGGAGGTTTGCAAGGAAGGCTGTTGAGAAGCGATGAGTAGGGTGCGCCTGGTTATCTGGCCCTTGTGATAAGTAGAACCTGTAATAAAAGTTGTCTATATTGTTTCCTTATCCTCACTTCTCGTTCTCTTCTAAACTCACTCCACTCAGGCTTCTACTTCCTCCATGCCATCAGAACAGCTCTTGTCAAGGTCACCAATCATCTCCATTTTTCCAAACACAAGGCTCACTCTATCTCCTAGCCTTTTTCCGCTGGCACAGTTAATCACTCCCTCCGTGAAACACACTTTCGGCTTCTGTGATGTCATCCTTAACTTTTTTTCCTCTTTCTTAATGCTGTTGCTTTTTTCCAGTCTTCTTCTCTGGCTCCTTTGCCTGACCTCTAAATGTTACAGTGTTCCAGAGCTCAAACCTGGTTCTCTTTTATTTCTTTCTTTAACTATAGTGCCTATTTAGGTAATACTATTTAGTGTCTCATAGCTTTAAAAGCCATGTATACAGTGATGACTCAAATTTTTGTCTCCAGGTTCTTCTGAGTTCCAGAATTGCATTTTCAAAATGAAACTTTTGATTTTCTCTTAAATCTCTTCCTTCCCCAGTCACTGCTGGTCACTAATGGCATCGTGAACCATTAGGTCAGTCACACCATAAATTTAGGAGCTATCTTTGTGTCTCCTCTTTTCCTTTCTCCCTTCATCAGTAAGTCCTGTCTGCTTTGCCTCCAAGTATATCCTGAAGCTCACTACTTTCCATCTCCATTGCCACTTTCCTAGAACAAGCGACTGTCATCTGTTACCTAGACTGCTGGTTCTGTTTCTACTCTTGCCTCCCTATTATTTTCTTTCAAGTCACCAAATTCTTTAAAAATGTAAAATTAGGGGGCGCCTGGGTGGCGCAGTCGGTTAAGCGTCCGACTTCAGCCAGGTCACGATCTCGCGGTCCGTGAGTTCGAGCCCCGCGTCAGGCTCTGGGCTGATGGCTCGGAGCCTGGAGCCTGTTTCCGATTCTGTGTCTCCCTCTCTCTCTGCCCCTCCCTCGTTCATGCTCTGTCTCTCTCTGTCGCAAAAATAAATAAACGTTGAAAAAAAAAATTAAAAAAAATATAAAATTAGATCACATCACTTCCTGTTTAACACCCGTTAAGGTTCCTGTTGTTGTTAGGTTGAAATCCAGGTTCCTTTACCCGGGCCCAAAACACATTTCCACGATCTGAATCCAGCCTGTCTCCCTGAACTCACCTTAAATCAGTCTTTCCCCTGGGTCACTGTCACTCAGCCACATAAGTCTGTTTTTAATTGGCAAATATGCTGCGCTAGTTCTTACCCCAATGCCTTAGTACTCGTTGAACTTTCTACCCCATAAGATCTTTTCCCTGATCTTTGCAGCCTCTCTCTTTCCCATCATTCAAGTCTCAGCTTACATGTTACCTAAAACACTCTTTCCTGAGCCCTCTCTCACTTGTTCCTACCTCTCCCCATCATATCCACCCTGTTTTATTCTGTCTATTACTTCTCATTACTATTTGAAATTCTCTTATTCTGCCCATTATGCGCTTCATTGGAATTTCAGTGTTATGAGATCAGAGACTTTGTTTTGTTTACTGCTATATCTCTAGCAGGTAGAACAGTTTCTGGTGCTTAGTGAATATTTGCTGAGAGAATGAGTGATGTTCAGAGAAGATACCTCCCTTCTGGGTTGTTTTCTTAGGGTTCTGAGTAGAAGAGACATAAGTATAATTGCATTATGTACTGATATAGAACATTTAGTCATTTCTCAGACAATTGTGAGGTAAGATGAAAGTGCGACTTGTTCATTTTTCTTTTCTTTACACATTCTCCTTTCTTAAAGGTATATGGCAGGAAATTACATGGAAGGGAGATTGTACGTGAAAGTCTGGGGAACTGATATTCCAACGGAACCATTTGGGGGTAAAATAAGCTCTGAGAAATGTATCGTGAGTGTTAGGAATGGATGATGATGATAGTGATGGGGTAGAGGTGGATTCAGACTTACTGTCATTTTAGCTCCTGGCTGAGGTGGATTTTGTAGTTAGAAGGACAGTTGACAGTGTGACATGGTGTTCAGTGTCCACCCCAGGCAGGAGGGGAATGGAACAAATTCCTGCTCAAACCTTTCATAGGACTGGGTAGTGGTCAAGGCTCTATGAGAATCTGAGTAGGGAATGTCAGTCAGCAGTCTGTGACCTTTATTTTTTGGTACCTACCTTTCTTTCTTTTCTGAAATAATTATAGATTCACAGTAAGTTGCAAAAAAAAAAAAAAAATACATAGAGGTTCTGTGTACCCCTTACCAAAGTTTTTCCCATTGTATAATGAGAGGTACATTTCTTTTAATCTGAGTGAAAGTGAGTTTGTTTCTCCATTTAAGTTTAACTTCTCTCCATTTAAATTTAAGTTCTCCATTTAAATTTAAGTTCTCTTTTCTCCACTTACAATTTAAGAGTGTAATCCCAAATCTCAAAGGTAACTCTTTTTCCTCTTTTGAGTTTTCTTTATGAGGTCAAGGGAACTTACCTCCCTTAGCCATTTATGCGTTGACTGATCCCAGTGGGCTGGCAGACTGCTAAGATAAGCAATACAGGATGTTTCCAGAGGTAGCTAGTATACTATGCATTCACTAACATTTCTTTTCATACTCTTACAGTCCAATTATAAAAATAAGATAACATCTGTTATATACTTTTAGAAATGAACGTATATGTATACAAAAAGGGATCACAGAGGGATGGTATAGTATAACAAATAAGAATGGGTCTCTGGAGCCAGAGTGCCTGGCACTCTGTCACCTACCACCTGTGTGTCCTCAGGCAAGTTACTTTATATACCTGAGCTTCCATTCTCTCATCTATAAAGTAGGCATTCCAGTATATCTACCTCATAGGGTTGTTTTGTGACTATATAAACAGTTTAGAGTAGTACATAGTACATAATAAGGATTTCTCTTATCCATGACAGATGGCAGGAGAGCTGGCTGACAAAAAGGACCGTGATGCATCACCTTCCAAGGAGGAAAGAAAGCGATCTCGGACTCCTGACAGAGAACGGGATAGAGACCGGGACCGGAAGTCTTCCCCATCCAAAGACAGGAAGCGGCATCGTTCAAGGGATAGGCGTCGAGGAGGTAGCCGTTCTCGCTCCCGGTCCCGTTCCAAGTCTACAGAAAGGTAAAGTAACTTTGTATGTCTATATGGGAAGGGAGAGTACATTTCACACTTCTTCATTCTCGGTTCCTCTGATGCCTGCACTATTAGGCCACTAGTCTTTCACATATTTCTCTACACCTAGTGACCCAGCAGCTCTTAAAAGTTAAGAGGGAACTTGTAGGATGAAGGTCCAAGTGATCGAGGAAGATAGTTTCTCTGTTCACATAGACTATGGCCTATCATTCCATTAATGCTTAGCAGTACAACTCCGATCTAGACGACTTTCTTAGAATTCCCTCATAGCTTCTCCTAGAGACACATTCCCCGATTTATAAAAATGCTGCTTTGTGGAGAAAAGAGCATGAGAGGGACACCTGGGTGGCTCAGTCGGTCAAGCGTCCGACTTTGGCTCAGGTCATGATCTCATGGTTCGTGGGTTCAAGCCCTGCATTGGGCTCTGCTGACAGCTTGGAGCCTGCTTCAGATTGTGTCTTTCTCTCTGCCCCTCCTCCTCTTCTGCTTGCTCTCTCTCAAAAATAAGTAAATAAACATTTAAAAAAAAAAAAGATCACGAGAACCTTCTTATGACTGCAGTGAACCTGGATACTCTGGAAATCTCACATGATTTCTTAAATTTGCCGTCTTTAGAGAGCGAAGGCACAAAGAACGAGAACGGGATAAGGAGCGTGATCGGAATAAGAAGGACCGAGACCGGGATAAGGATGGGCACCGACGGGACAAGGACCGGAAACGATCCAGGTACCTGAGGGAATGGGAGCGGGCCTTAGGAGAAAGCCTTCCTCTGTGCCTCTGAGCTGGCGCAGGCCCATAGGGAAGTCAGTTGTTGTGGTAGTTACTGCAGAGCTGTCATTTTTAGAAAGCACGTATCCTTAGAAACTATAACCAGTTACTGAAGCTGCAACAGTTTGAGGGTCAGTTTGTTCTTAAAAGTTAGAAATTAGTTGGAGAGGGTTACCAGCCTACAAAACAGTCCCTTAGTTGCATTGGACCATTCAGGTGTCCACCCAAGATAAACAACATGTATTTGTTGGGATAGCTTAATGCCCCAGTATCTTGACCTCTTTCCTCTGGAAATTCTGTATGCAAAGTTTTTATTAGGCTCTGAGTATGCAGGTTAGGATTCAGGGCAAAGAACACAATTCCCATAGCAGATACGGGGGTGGGGGTGTTTGAGACCTCTTGTAGATTGGGCTTGTAATAGTTGTGGGGAAAGGATCTCTGCACAGGTAGGAAGGAAGCAGGGGGAGGGAACACACAGAACAGTACCTGGAAAGGGTGGATGGTGGGGGACCTTGTCAACGAAATTCATTGTGTATTATAAATGAAGCAGGATTCTTTTTTTCTGATGCGCACCTGCTATTTGGAAGAGAGATTTTTGCCCTCAGTAGTGAAGGCAATCTTGTGAGAAGAGATTAGTCTTGGAAAGGGAGATTCAGGTAGAATGGGGCCAAGACAGGCCCATCATTAGGTTTCAGAGCAGGCAGAGTGACCAGGCCTGCAAAGGGAGCTTCAGGGCGTGATGGATGGCCATAAGCCAGTCTTGTTGAGTCATGGGAAAACTTCTATCCTCTCTGTGGCTCAGCCTGGATGAGGGCAAGATAGCGATATGGATCTTTCCCGTTTCTTTTCCTTAAAGTTTATCTCCTGGCCGAGGAAAAGATTTTAAATCTCGGAAAGACAGAGACTCTAAGAAGGATGAAGACGATGAACATGGTGATAAGAAACCTAAGGTAAAGGAGAGGAAGGATTTCTCTCATCTTCCTCTTCAGTTCAAGTTCTACATTATAAATCTTCAAAGGGAGAGAGCCTTTATGGACTGAAGTCCTATTTTTTTTATCTTTAGGCTCAGCCGTTATCCCTGGAGGAACTTCTGGCCAAGAAGAAGGCTGAGGAAGAAGCTGAGGCTAAGGTGAGAACTCGAGGGTCTGTGTTAGCTGGCCGGGCTGCTGTAATAGAACGTTGCAGGCTGAGCGACATAAACAACAGAAATTAATTTTGTCACAGTTCTCGAGGCTAGAAGCTGGGATCAAGGTGTCAGTAGGGTGGTTTTCTTCTGAGGCCTCTCTCCTTGGCTCGTGGGTGGATGTCTTCTGTGTCCTCACATGATCTTCCCTCTGTGCGGACATGCCCCTGGTGTCTCTCTGTGCCCAGGTTTTCTCTTACAAGAGAGGAATGGTTTAGGGTCCACTCAAAGAACTTCATTTTACCTTATCACCTCTTTTATTTATTTATTTATTTATTTATTTATTT